TCAAGCATGAGAATAAACAGTTGCACCGGCTCGCACATGACTATGCTACAAACATGAAGAGGAAGCTTGACCAGATGAAGGAATCTGATGGTCAGGTTTTACTTGATCATCAGAGATTTGTGGGTTTGTTCCAAAGGCATTTATTGCCTTCGTCTTCTGGGGCTGTACCGCGTAATGAAGCTCCAAATGATCAACCTCTGATGCCTCCTTCTTCTAGGGTTTTGTCCAGTACTGAGGCTCCGAATGATCCCCCTCCGGTGCCTTCTCTTTCTGGGGCTCTACCGACTGCTGAGACTTCTCCTAAGCAACCTTTGTGAAGGCTCCCTCTTGTTTGTTTATTTTGACTCAAGTATATGTACATATTTGTAACTTATCGGGGATATCAATAAATAAACTTTCCTTCATTTCAACGTATTGTGTTAAATACACCAAAGCCTTCTTCGCTAAGTTCTTTGAATTTTTCTTTTTTTTGAAGCTTGTATGTTGAAGCTTTGTGAGTGGAGCATGTAGGTTGAGGTAGTGTTCCCTTAATTTCCCGAGTGAGGAAAACTTCTCGGTTGGAGACTTGGAAAATCCAAGTCACTGAGTGGGATCGGCTATATGAATCTTAGAACGCCATTGTGTTCTGTCCTGTGTCATGTCCTCCGTTAGATCCAAGTACTCTAAGTCTTTTCTTAGGGTCTCTTCCAAAGTTTTCCTAGGTCTTCCTCTACCCCTTCGGCCCTGAACCTCTGTCCCATAGTCGCATCTTCTAATCGGAGCGTCAGTAGGCCTTCTTTGCACATGTCCAAACCACCGTAACCGATTTTCTCTCTCATCTTTCCTTCAATTTCGGCTACTCCTACTTTACCCCGGATATCCTCATTCCTAATCTTATCCTTTCTCGTGTGCCCACACATCCAACGAAGCATCCTCATCTCCGCTACACCCATTTTGTGTACGTGTTGATGCTTCACCGCCCAACATTTTGTGCCATACAGCATCGCTGGCCTTATTGTCGTCCTATAAAATTTTCCCTTGAGCTTCAGTGGCATACGGCGGTCACACAACACGCCGAATGCACTCTTCCACTTCATCCATCCAGCTTGTATTCTATGGTTGAGATCTCCATCTAATTCTCCGTTCTTTTGCAAGATAGATCCTAGGTAACGAAAACGGTCGCTCTTTGGTATTTCTTGATCTCTGATCCTCACCCCTAACTCGTTTTGGCCTCCATTTGCACTGAACTTGCACTCCATATATTCTGTCTTTGATCGGCTTAGGCGAAGACCTTTAGATTCCAACACTTCTCTCCAAAGGTTAAGCTTTTGCATTTACCCTTTCCTGAGTTTCATCTATCAACACTATATCGTCTGCGAAAAGCATACACCAAGGAATATCATCTTGAATATGTCCTGTTAACTCATCCATTACCAACGCAAAAAGGTAAGGACTTAAGGATGAGCCTTGATGTAATCCTACAGTTATGGGAAAGCTTTCGGTTTGTCCTTCATGAGTTCTTACGGCAGTCTTTGCTCCTTCATACATATCCTGTATAGCTTGGATATATGCTACTCGTACTCCTTTCTTCTCTAAAATCCTCCAAAGAATGTCTCTTGGGACCCTATCATACGCTTTTTCCAAATCTATAAAGACCATGTGTAAATCCTTTTTCCCATCTCTATATCTTTCCATCAATCTTCGTAAGAGATAGATTGCCTCCATGGTTGAGCGCCCTGGCATGAACCCGAATTGGTTGTCCGAAACCCGTGTCTCTTGCCTCAATCTATGCTCAATGACTCTCTCCCAGAGCTTCATTGTATGACTCATTAGCTTAATACCCCTATAGTTCATGCAATTTTGTACATCGCCCTTATTCTTGTAGATAGGCACCAAAGTGCTCATTCGCCACTCATTTGGCATCTTCTTCGTTTTCAAAATCCTATTGAAAAGGTCAGTGAGCCATGTTATACCTGTCTCTCCCAAAACTTTCCACACTTCGATTGGTATATCGTCTGGGCCTACTGCTTTTTCTATGCTTCATCTTCTTCAAAGCTACAACCACTTCTTCCTTCCGGATTATACGATAAAAAGAGTAGTTTCTACACTCTTCTGAGTTACTCAACTCCCCTAAAGAAGCACTCCTTTCATGTCCTTCATTGAAAAGATTATGAAAATAACCTTTCCATCTGTCTTTAACCGCGTTCTCTGTAGCAAGAACCTTTCCATCCTCATCCTTGATGCACCTCACTTGGTTTAGGTCCCTTGTCTTCTTTTCCCTTGCTCTAGCTAGTTTATAGATATCCAACTCTCTTTCTTTGGTATCTAGTCGCTTATACATATCGTCATAAGCCGCTAACTTAGCTTCTCTCACAGCTTTCTTCGCCTCTTGCTTCGCTTTTCTATACCTTTCACCATTTTCATCGGTCTTATCCTTGTATAAGGCTTTACAACATTCCTTCTTAGCCTTCACCTTTGTTTGTACCTCCTCATTCCACCACCAAGATTCCTTTTGGTGTGGGGCAAAGCCCTTGGACTCTCCTAATACCTCTTTTGCTTCTTTTCGGATACAACTAGCCATTGAATCCCACGTTGTCATTGGACTCAAAACGCTCTATGTACCGTATACAACCTTAAGAACTGCAGGTTTTGTATATTTGACAAGAGGGTTGTTTCACATCAACTTTGCATACCCAGAAAGACTTGGGTTGCGTATATTTATAGCCAATATACAGATTACATTCAGGGTTTGAAAACCCTATTTACATAAAGTCCTAAGCCTATCCAACTCCGAAGAGAGAAGTCTTGGAAACCAAATACAAGACTTCAAACAAACAGTCTTTGAAACCAAATACAAGACTTCAAACAAACTAACGACTCGGTCTAACAGGACCTATCATATTTGTTTCAGTAATAACAGATACATTACAAAGAGAGTTAGAAGAGAAAATTTTGCCTGCATCAAAGTTCATTGTGAATCTATCGAAGTTCACGGAGACATTACTAAGAGAGTTAGAAGTGAAAAACTAACCTTCAATTTTCTCTTTGACACTCCCAACCTCTTCGGCATGTTTCTCATGAATCAGATAAACCAGCTCATAGTGGCGCACTGTAACAAGGGAAACAATAAGTTATAACCAACCAACCATGGTTAAACACTAAATAATATTTTCCATTTGTTCTATGAACTATTAGAAGACAATTTCTTTCACCATTTCAATCACACAAGTCAAACCAAGAGGCAATCCGCTTAGCAAGAAAAATGAGCATGAACCGCACTTACATCGCTCCTCATTCAAATCGCTTTGCAGCTGAAGCTTCAAAAATTCATACACCTTCTCTGCATAGAAATGAAAACAAAATCAATAACTGCAAGGCCCCGAATCATTCTTCGGAAAAAAGGGCAATCGCCATTCCTTTCGAAAAGCAGCAGTCCGTTTGAATCATGATAGCTTACCTTCTTCGGCATCTGCAAACTCAGGGAGAAGGTTACCATCTTCCTGAACTTTCTTCTGCAATTCATAACAAAGTCTCATCTCAAAACCAACCACAAATAAACTTAAGCAACCCAAAAAATCTTATCTTATCCACCTTCATTTAAAATTTCAAGAAAAATAAAATCTTTCAGAACGCAAGGCTCAATTCTTTCAGAACGCAAGGCTCATACGCGAATGGTGAAACACAATAATCCCAAGAAACAAAACAAAACAAAACAAAAGAAACCCCTCAGAAGCCCACACTTTAAATGTAATCAGAAACAAGAATTTTACTAACTTTAAATCCCAAATAACAAATTTTGAGCATTCTACAGCAGCCAAAAAATAAAGGGTCGCACTCAAACGTCTTTGAATTTCAGAAGCCAAAGTTACAAAATAAAAAAATCCATAAACCCAAAATAAAGAAGTGAAAAGGAGTAAAAGAAATATGGAGTTTGTGTATAAATATAAACGAAAGGGAACCTGTTTAAGCAGCACAGATTCAGGGAAAGGCCCAGTGGCCTCATCCGGTTTCGATGCAAAGCTGTGGTTGTCTTCCTTCTTCTTCTCCTTGTTGCTGTTCTTCTTTGCAAAAACAATCACCGACCTTCTGACTCTGACTGGGACCTTCTGAGCTGGAAATGGCCGACGAGAAGAAAACGAAGAGAACCCATTTGAGAATTGAAAGCTTGAATTTTGGTTTTTGGAGGAGGGCCCATTTTTGCAGACCAGTTCTAGAGCCGTTGGAGTGAGAGAAGCTACAGAGAAGGAGTGTATGAGTGCCCCCATTGAAGCTGCTTTGGAGCGGAGAGAGACCCGGCGAGGATATGCGATTTGCGATACAAGTGAAGGAAAAGGGGTGGTTTCGTAATTTCGATAGAGTTATATCTTGATGGTTAAATCCTGTCCGTCTGTAAGGTTATCCTGGTCCACCGTTTGATTCATCTAGTTCTTCGTGGTAGATATCCAACGGTCTAGTTAATTGGTTTTCCTTCTTTATCGATTTTGTTTTAATTCTTTTTCTTCTGACTTTTTAGGTTTTTTTTTCTTTATAAAATGGATGACTCATTATTTTAATCGACTGACCTTAGTCGAAAAATAAATAGGACTATAAGAATAGAACAATATCGTATTAGCCACCTAATGACATAACTAACTCCAGGACAGAACTTGAAATAACTTTTCTTTTTCTCCATCTACGATCAATTAGGGTGAAATGAACCACTAGGAATAGCCTAGTGGTGAGGGTGTGGGTAAGGCATGGGGCAGATTAGGCCCCAGGTTCAAGGCCTGGTGGGGTCGAGTGGGATAGAGAAAACAAAAAAAATTAGGGTGAAATGAACCAATTTTGCTTGGTGAGATGGGCTAATTTTTTTAAAAGCATAGTTAAATTTTGAAGCGTTAATAATAATTCTCTTTATTTGTTCAAAAAATTTGTCCCAGACGGTAGCTCAACCTAGTCTAAGCATGGTTTCGCCCTTGCGAACCCAATGTACAAAACGGGTCGTTTTTCAAGTCCAAAATTTAACTAGCAACAAGGGCGGATTAGCATCAATACATTTCAATCTCCATTGCCACCCTAATTAGGTGCCCTGTCAAGAATCAAATTCACATCGGAGATCGAAAAACCAATTCCGACACCACAATTTCAAAGCTGAACCACCAAAGTGATCATATCGGGAGCATAACAAGGAGTACATCGACTCCGTCCCGGTTTATCATATTCGTTAGGGTTCATCCCATGAGGTAAATAGCTAACCATCAGATTACATGGTTTCATAAACTCCATATACATAGTAATGCACTGCCCAACATCACTTGCTTTTTCATCACTCCTTGCGTCCAACCAGTTTCTCTCCCTACACAAACCCAAGTGCAAAATGTAGGCAGTGCAACAACATTATTGCCTTGACCCGCCACGAAAATGTAAACTACCCTAATTTTTGGCAGCTCGAATTTTCTTATAGCGGTCCACGTTCTTGTGAAAATGGGGAAATAATGGAAGAAATGAAGACGATTAAGAATGATGAGACGGTAATACAAGCTCTCCGGTGTTGCAGACTAATGGTGATTGGATTCTATACTTATGATTAATGATGTCAAACTTCCTCAGGCATCTCTTCTGACAAAAAAAAAAAAAAAAAAAAACAACAGGCCAACATTGAACATATGAACTTTCTTATCAGGAATCAGTATCACTAATGCTTAGATAGTGCGAAACAAACGGAGCAACTTGGATACTCACCATTTCTTTCCCTTTTTCTTTCTCTTGTTAGCACTGCCACTGGTGCTGCCACCGCTCTTGGTACCAGGTGCAGATTTGGCAGATGGGCTCTCAGTGGAGGTGCCGGTACCAAAATTTTCAAACGTGCCAGTTTGCACTGCATTCTGTAACCACTCAAAGAATTCTTCCTCTGTCATGTTTTCTTCCAAGTTCGATGTTGGCATCCGACCTCCTGTTTGCCCCGAACTTGTTCCCTTTCCAGTATTATGCTTAGAGGTCACACTAGTGTTAACATGAAAACTTGGCTTGTGAGTGTTGGCTGGACATCTCATACCCTACAACAAAATTGAGCTTCATGCACATCTGCTTTCAATGTGACAAAAACTGTGTGTGGGTGCAGAAGGCGGCATGAGTGTTATTCTAAAGGAAAAAGAATATCCATGATAAACTTGGTAAAATAGTTCAAATTGAATTAATTACCTGGCAAATATACCACTCAGTAGCATTGTATATCTTGCTATCAGCACAAACAAATGCGGATGGAGCATCTATCTGCACATACAACATTGTTTAAAAAAGGATGATCTTGCATTATGTAAATTTCAGCAACTATAATTGTACTGGTGATAATTCTTTTTTATTCTCTTTTAACGCAGAATTCTAAAGCAACCTTTCTCCAGCATATATAAATGCACATACCTTCTGCAACATTCCAAAGAAGAAGGGTTGGGAATATTGTTCAACCCACCCATCACCATCTTTTGCTTGATGAAAATCTTTGCAATCCTGTCAAAAGAGAAATTCCACAAAGAGGAGGACATCAGCACCAGGCGAAAAAAATCTCTAACAGCATCATCTTTAAAGATGCTAAACCCTCTTTGATAGATGCAAACTAATAGAACATCATTAAACGCTTTAAAGGTAAACGAAAACCTGGCACCACCGTGCTTGAGATTTTGATTTCCTGGTGAGCACCCAGACATGAAAATTGCCGCACTTATTGCAGGAGATTCTCCTTGAATCCCCAAATGGGTCTTCACCATCGGCTTCCGGGTGTGCAAATCCAGGGGAAAGACACCATGCCCTCCATTCTAGGAAACACATTGCAATATTAGGTAAGGCGGAAAAATTTAGAACACGTAATACTTGACATCCCTCAGAACTATATTCAGTAAATGAACAACTAATTCCTAGCAGAAGCCATAGCAAAGGGATGTATCCAAAACAACATAAGCTTCTGCTAACAATTCAAAAGTTAATCACAAAGTTGAATGAAAGGATCCCGGGAACCGACTGACAGGCTTCACTGTCAATTATCAACCCCTTCTTACATTCCTCATGGATATGGAAGAGATTGGTAAAAAAAAATTGAATTCTAAAACCAATTACAAGAAAGCATAAAAATTAGATATATATTACCTTTTGTGAAGTACTTTGAAATCTACAGAAAATGTTCAGCAGTTCCTCTCTCCTTAATTCGTCGTCATATGTTTTTCGCTTCAAGGAATCAAGCAAAATCTAGAAAATATGGGAGCAAAAAGGGCCAGTGGTACAATCAGAATCATAATCAAATCAATCATAGAAAAAATCTCCATGGACATCGAATGATCACCTCATATGCATTCTGAAGTTTCTTGAAAGCTTCAGCAGCTTTTTCATTTCCCATATTTTTATCAGGATGGACCAACATTGCCTGATAAGAAATATAACAAACTTGTTAAAGCAAAAGAAATATATTAACAGAACAGTACAGCATGTTATCCAGAAGCAGTACTTCTATATATGTAAACGACTCTTTGGAAAGATAAAGGTCATCATTCACCAAACAAAGTTAGATCTCAGACTCAATGCTTGGCCATACAAATCTTGAAGCTTCCAAGAGAATAACATAACAAGAAACAACAAAGAAGTCAGGAAAAGATCCCTTTTCATGCTTATTAGAGCAAAGAAAGAATGGCACTTACCTTTTTCTTGTACTCCCGCTTCAGTAAAGAAACATCTACATTTTCGTATCGAGAAAATCCTAATGCGGAATAGTGATCAGTACAGTTTAACAGCCGAACAACTTCATCTTCAGAGGTTATCTCAGAATCAGTGCTACTGGTTGAGGGTACTCCTTGGCTACGATCGGCAGAAAACAATGGAACATTTTCGGAGGATGAAGCATGTGCCTGCTCACTGTTAAAGAAGTCTGGTTGACCTGGAATTCCAGATGTTTGTTCAGGGGATCCGTTGGGTCTTCTCTGCTGATTTACGTTGTTCTTTAGGAAATATATCAGACAATCACTTGAGATAAAAGACAAATTCAACCCCAAAAGCAAACCCAGCCATCCAACATATGTCCAAGCACAATAAACTGAATACACAGTGGCAATGGACAGGGCAATACGCTCATGGCTCAGTGTGAATGCCAAACCTGAATGTTGAAGAATGTCAAAGCTCAGCAAGCTGTGATGAAGAAATATGCATACTTGAAAATTGAAATAGATGATCTGCACTTGAAAGGAGGTAAAAGAATCACCTCCTAAGAAGATTGCAAATCCTGTTGTCCAAAAGCTTCCATAGAACCACAACAAAAGAGCTCCACAAAAAGCAACCACCAAAATCGAGAGCATTAACCCAACGAAAAGTCCAATTAAAGCAGCAAAGACCTGGGAGTTTATTCAATATGTATGAGAGCATACTAATGCAAACTTTAACAGATACTCTTAAACTCACCCATCCGCCTCACCCATTGCAAAAAACAGATAACTATTAATAAGGACACATACATAAAAGTTTGGATGTTCAACAAGTGAGAAATAAACATTAGGAACCAGGGAGGTTTAAAAGGACGAAGGGACTCAAAACAGGTACATTTTGTTGGGAAAAAACAAGTAGAAAAAATAAAGCCAACTATAATTATAAACATCCCAGCCAAAGAGACTGTAAGTTATAATGAGGTGAGTGGTCCGTAGCAACGTAGCAATACTAGGGCTTACCAATACAATCAGAAACTTGAACATCCCGGCCATAGCAACTACTGAGAGAATGCTGCACCATATAACTGAAAAGAAGGATGTTGTTCCCATCCGAGCTAAGCTATCAATGCCCCTTACGGTACAATCCAACCAGGCCATTGATAAAAGAAACAATATACCCCCAAACTGCATAAGCCACTTCAAAACAATTGGATATGCCTGCTCAAACTTTGTTTTGACATAATCACGGGCATATAGTGCCGTACTTTTTACAGTAAGAAACATTGGCTCGTGCCTCTGCAACCATTCACTAGCCATCTTCAAGAATGGCAATGCTGATGCCTTCAAGTTTCTAAACAATCGGGTATCTGAAAACTCTAACCAAGCCATCAAAGTTCTCATATGCCATCTATTCAGAGAGGAACCAGATTTTCTTTTTGTATGTTTTCGGCGTAAGTGGCTCGGAGGTAATGTTCCATTTTCTTCTCTCATGCTTGGAGCTTCATTGTTTACGTTGCAATCTCCTAAATCACTCCGTAAAGAACTTGACTCCTCTGGACCCTGCATTGCATCCATACCTTGCTTCTCTTTCCTCAAAGACTTTCCAGATTTTTGTTTGCTTTTATTCTCCTCCACAGGATGATTGGTTTTACTCGAACTGGCTGAAAGAGGACTGCTTGGCTGGTCACCATTTGGCAGTTCTTCTCCAGGGAAAACTTTCACCTCACTTGCTTTCCCATGCCCTTTCGTTTCTCCTAGTGTACACCCTGAATCTGGACCCTTCTTTTTGTGCTTTGATGTCTGGTGATCTACAGCATTCTTCTGTTGGTTACCCTTCCGAGCCATAGGGTAAAAGACCTTGACGTACTGTAAGCTAAGTCAAAGCTAGACGACTTACAATCAATTCAAAGCAACCGTTCCAGAAATACAATCTGAAAATAAAAAACTAACAGAGTCACAAGGATGCATGTATACATAAAATCAAAACTTTTTGTAAAGTACTTCCGCGAATATACGACTCTTCATAAATCATCACATATCAGACAAGAATTTGTTTTGATAAATTGATTACCAAACTGAAAAATGGCAATGCAGATATCAGTAAAAATCTAAACTTCCCAACTTTACTGATAACAGTACCTTTACTTAGAAAACTATTAAAGAGTAGAATTAGCATTTAGCAATGGAAAGGGGGTCGTGGATGGTGGACCCCATATATCAATATTGGGTAATCTGCATAACTTGTGAGGTGTGAATTAAAACAAAAACCCAAGAATTTCAATCTAACAAATAACCAAACTTACATTGTTCATTTCGCAAGAAACAAAATTCTCAGGAAGAAACACATAATACACAGTATTGTATCAAATTATCAACCACGAATCGATATAAATTTCAATTTAAAAGTAAAAATCGAATAACCCCAACTGAGGTTTAAATCCCCAAATGTCAGAAAAATGATCAAACCCCATTTCCAACAATTCAGTAATCCCAACACACCGAACAAAAATTCGATGAAAGCAATAAAATTGAGCAGAACCCATATCATAAAACCACTGGAAATTAAGTATTTCAACGTTGAGAGATTGATACGGACATACCTGGAGCTCTGAGGCACACAAAGGGATCACTGAGAGAAGAAACTCATACCATAAAGCATCAAAGCGGGATGTTTGGCGAATTGGGTTCTTCTGGACATGGAAGACCTGAGCATCCAGTAATCAATCATCAATGAGCAATCAGCAATCAGCAAGCAATCCAAATGTCACAGTTTTTTTGGGTCTGCGAAAAAAGGACAGAGAAGCACTCATGAAGAAGCTCTAAGGCCGAAGGAGGTTTTCTCTGTGTGCGTCTCTCTCTCTCATCCGAGAAGTTGAATTGGGGTCTGTTTGGCTGACTGGATTTCTTTGTTCCGAAACAGTTGTCGTGCCGCAGGACTACGCAGACCTCGGGGTCCCACGTGTCCCTTATTTATTCGATTTCCTTTTTTGTCTAAAGCCCATTAAAAAGAAAAAAGCCCATAAAGTTTTCTTTCGGTGTGGTGTGACCGTATGACCGTGTGGGCCTTGAAACCAAACTTCCACTTGATGATCGCTCTACAAGTGCTTTTTGATTATGTATGGAGAAAATTTTTAAGATGCGTTTTGAGTCATGGAAGTGTTTCTTGTGATATGCCTCTTGAAAACTTCAACATGGTTATAATGAAAGCCCTTCTAGTAGATTCTCTTATGAGTAAAAGTTCTTTCTGAAAAAGCAATTTCAAGCAAGTTCGAAAATAAATCATTTTTGTTTTGTGCATTATGCTTAGGCACTTTCACAAGAATATTTCCGATTGTATGCAAGTTTCTCCCATAAAAAGGAGACATACAATTGTGTATCCTTAAATTTGTAAATCTGATAGATTGTTCTGGAACAATTGTAGTAGTGGATACACGTTAAAACATGTTTAATTTGATATCACCATAATATAGATGTGAGACTGATAGCTATGATAATAGTGTAAGGTGATACCAAACTAAATAGTTCTTAATAGCTACCCATTAACATTCAATAGGTTGATTGGCCACCTCTAGCCGCACTCTTGTACGAAAGTGTCACACAATCACATTTTGGTAACTGTAACGTGGAAAAAGCAAAGGTAAGTGATTTTGAGATACTCATTTCCTCCCCTTCACACCGCTGTTTATTTCTAGCCTTCGAATTAAATAAATCGTACAAGAACCAATGCATAGAAATAAACAAGAACAAGAGTGCAGAATGAGCAAAGGGTCCCATACTCAAATTGATGAAAACAAAGTAGAAGATAATATGCCACAGCCAAAAGCATAGGATTATAATTTAAACTGCATAAGTCAAATGTTGATCACTGTTGACAACCCCCAATCGGCCAAACATATACAGATAATTAACATAGGAAATCTATGTACAGAACAAGTTCATGACATGCAGTTTCACATCTTACTGACAAGACAAAATCGTGCTCCGAAATGCATGCGCCGAGTACCACAACGGGAGTGTAGAGCTGTTCTTCACAGAGTACATCTCTTTCCACACACGAGTCTTGCGATAAAACACCAGTATCTGCTTGTGGGTTGCCAAGAAAACGCATTCACCAGTCTGACATATGGGGAAGATGCCCGTAACAAGTCCTTTGATACATCGAAGACTCACCGTATCCACCAAATGCCACTCCTCTCTCCCGTAATATTTCAACACCCAAATTTTCATCCAAGCATCTGAAATCTGGATCACCGACAGGCAACCATCTGACTCCAACAAGTAAAACCTATTTCCAGACACACAAGTCACTTGTTCCGGCAATGACATCTTCCTCCAAACATCAAACTCCAAATCGAGCGCGAGAATACAGGAACTACCAGTCAACCAATGAAGTGCACCATTAACAAACACGACTTGGCTCTTATTCATATGGGTGAACTGATCATCCTGAAACGAAACAAACTTCCTCCATTTGCTCGACTCAGAATCAAATATCATACATACAAAAGTTCCATTCGGCCTATGACCAAAAGTCCGATGGTAGCCCGCTAAAACAACATTAAACTTCTGGGTGGACAAATTGCAAGCCAATCCCACCAGGGTTGCCTCATCATCAGGGTAAAATCGGGTCACATGGCGCTCCCTACTCTTCGGAAGCAACCTGAACTCCCGAGTCATGGGATTACAAACATAGTAAACACCCTTATCAGGAATGCTAGAGCAACACAACAAGCCATTACAGGATGCTCTGACCTTAACCCTATCCCTCAAGAAATCCAATGAAAATTCGGAAACACCCCTCCGATTATCCACAACAATCAAATCTAATTTCGATCCCAACGAATCCGAAACCTCAACCAATAACGTAGGGTTCTTAGCAGACGTTTCATTGTACAATTGAATGAAATACTTATCGGAAACCAATCTGTACCAAAGTTTACAAACAGTTTTGCTCCTGAACAGCGACTTAATGGGTAGTTTTGAGAGGATTTGGAGGACGACTTCGTCCGGGAAAAAACCACATCTTTGGGGCTTCATGATCAAATTCCAATAAATATGAACAGAAATCAAATTACCCAGATGACTAAATTAGGAAAAGGGTATGGAAATCGCTTACCAGGTGAAAAATTCGAGATGGGTGTTTGATCGAACGCAGTCTGATGCATGGAGATGAAGTGGGATTTCACTTCTGAGTTTCAGAGTTCGCCATTTTTTACTTTCACAGAGGAATTATGAGCAAACGAAATGTAAACGTTGATAAAAGGTTGGATCTTTGATCCATAATTTGGTGGGACAAAAATGGGATTGGAATTAAATTAGGGATTTTGAGAATCGAGAAATGGAGAGTTTCGAAGAAAATTGAAGGTGGTTGGTAGAATTTGATCAGATTGATGGGCTTTGTGGGCTCTAATCAAGTTGGCCAATCGCAATGGGCCACAGATGGTGAGGAGGTTATCCAAGAAAATGTTTCGCGCCAATGGGCTGAACCCAAGTGGTCCGCATATACCTTTTTTACCTTCCACCAGCATTTCTCAAATTTCAACCGACGAATTGGATAAGTTGAAAAGAATCAAAGGACATAATTAGTAATGGGTGTGTGAGAGATAAAAAGAAGTGTGTAGATATTACTACCCTTATTGCATTATTATTATTTTTTAAAATTCTAAAATACGATGAGAGAGATTCACGATGGAGATAGTGAGCGTCAAAACCCAAATCTTATTTTCTTCAATCATGAGACATGATGAGAATTGTTCCTCATGTTTGCTGGTACCTATTGCGAAACGAAGAAATGGCCAAGATTGCTTAACCACTTGATAACCATTTCGTTTTTAGTTTTTAGTTTGTATTCACTTTTTTGAAATATGAAAAATTGGAATCTTGTTTGACAACAAAAGGTTGAAAACAAAATGGTTATCAAACAATCCTTAATAAACCACATGTTGATCTCATACAGATATTAGGAAAACATTCACAAACAGAACAAGTGCCAATTTTTTAACTAAAAATAGGTCTAGAGACATTAAAAGGACAATAACCCGTACACAACCACAGTTTAGTGCGTCCTTATTGTCTGTTTAGTGACCCTCTAGTTCAATTTTTGTTTTATAACGTGTTCTATTTGCGCATATCGTCCCTGACATTGTACTAGCAGAAAAGAACTTTGGTACTATCGTGGGATTACAAGCAATCAGACATTCCTAACAATCCTTGTATGTGTTGCAGAGGAATGACAAGGTCATATGATCGAAGAAGACTCTATCTATTATCTGAGTTTCCGAAAATCTTGTCATTAGCTATAAATCCAATCCAAAGACGTCTTAAGTGTCAAAGAACCCTCAAATGGTAAATTTCATCACTATTTACTTGTACCTTTGTTACCCTGCTGAACATTGGCATGGTTTTCTGCATCTTCAGCTCTGCATCCCAAGCCACCTGAATTATCCTGCATTTTATCATTCAAGACACTCAGTGCATGTTCCGGCAACCAAACAATGACATTCGTGAGCAAGATCGAGGACCGTTAAATATGATAAATTGTTTATGGATTAAGGCACTCTCCAGAACATTTTAATACAACAGTTGTTAGTAGACGAACTAATTCTATTTTTATACATTAAGCGCTACGAAGTACATAGTCGATATGCCTCCTTTGCTTCTTTCTTTTTCCTATTTCCTTATGTCAGCGAACTCATCGTGATCATGTCCGTTTTAGGTCACCTGTACAACAAAAATATGGAATCTAATCAGAGATCCTCAATTGTAGAGTTTCTTTAATGGTGCAAGGGCAACTGATGTCAAAATTTAAAACTATTGTTCGGTGAGAACAAGCTTCCAATAAGTAATGCTTTCTCATTTCTTGCCATCCAAGCAAACAGAGAAAGCAAAAGTGCAAAGACATTGCAAAAGGTTTTGATATGTACGGTAAATAAAAGCTTTTGGAAGTCATACCATTTAAGCAGGGATCCATTGTCCGTTAATCCAGTCCTGTCGAGGCCTCAAATTGGAATGTTCAAACATTAATTCTTCATTGGTGGAGCTGAAATAGACAACATACATTAAGCCGCCAAGAACTTTGGAAACGGTGCCCTCCCACCATCCCTCATTGTACCAAGCATCGACTTTCTGGAGCACTTTGAAATGAGCAACCGATGGAAGTGCAGGAGGACAAGGTCTAATATAACTTGCACATGTTTCTTCTCTCAAGGGATCCTTTGTTCCGTCATCCGTTACCAGGTACAGGTATTCCACCAGATACTTGTTATTTCCTACATGATCAATTATTTTAGCAGTGTACCAAGCATCCTTGTAGCCTTCCTCGTCGCTGCTGACCTCCACCACAGTCCCATTTTCAAAGCTTGCTCCCAGTGGTTTCTTGCCGCACTTAAATTTCAATATTAATTTTCTAGATTTCACCACCATCCCAGATGAACTATTCTGCAATTCCAGTTTTCAAAACCTGAGCACACATTCAAAACCCAGAAAGCTGTACATTGTACAAGAACAATTACCCAGAAACGCATAACTAGAAAATGTATACATGGAAGACATTAGCAACCACTGAATCAACAGAACATCAATACCATACAGCAAACACCATAAATCACTTACACAAAGCTGCACCAAACCAAAGATTAATATATAATTATATACACATAATCACTTTTTACAAAGCAAACCATAAAATAATGACTTATGATTGAAAATTAATATTCTAATTTGATGTCAACCACTTGCACCAAGAATCTACCTTGAACAATTATATATTATAATATAGTACGGAATTTGGTTTAAGTCAATAAATAATTTCGTATTTTGGCATAAGTCAATGGATACATCCTCTTCAACTAAGATTAAAACCACTTGGCTGATGCATCGACCTCTCACTAAAAGCACAAAATGTTGATTTGACTTAATCGGAGTATTGAAAACATGTTTTGACCTTGAACGAAACACCACTCTTGTCATAAATTTCACAGGTGATCCTTTTTCCTATTGAAACCATGGAGAAATAATAATCTTACCATAGCACATATGTTTGGTGATTGTCATAACATTTCTACCTACTATACCCAAAAAATGTCACAATCATATCAAACAAAATTAAACCCATTGCAAATAAATTCATACGGAAATTAATCAAAAAATAATACCCATTAATAAAACAAATTATAAAAACAAAAAACAAAAAAAATCAAAGAAAATACCTCTTCTTGAATAGGAGGGACCCAAGAGCCATCATCCCAGTCTCTGTGAATCCTCATATCACACTGCTCGCACTCAAATTCCTCACCCCGCAGCGCAACTAAGTACTTGGAGTTCTCCAGAATGTCCGTCACAGTCCCGCGAGACCACCCATTTTCTCTGTAGGCGTCGACGTCGTCGCCCACCTTGAAGAACTGGTAGAGCTCCCTCGGCGGTGCGGGCCTCACATTGCCTAATTCGACTATCTCCTGGAGGAGTCTGGGGCTGACGGCGTTGGGGGTCGTCAGGGTTTGGTACTGGACTAAAATGTGGGCCTTGTCCTTGACCACGGGGCGGCGCACCGTCGCGGGGTAGTACGGCCCGGTGGAACTGCGGGAGGGCTTCGTGACGACCTCGACCTCGTCGCCCTTGCTGAAATGGGTCTGCGACATGTGGGAATCGGAAACCCTAGCAGCCAGAAGAAGGGAGTGGAGCGGTGGAGTGGTGGAGCGGCGGAGTGGCGATCATAAATACATGGCGGGAGGGTGCTGGTGGTGGTAAATGCGGTGCAGAGTTGAACCAATAGGATCGTCGAATTCGAGGGAAGGTGGATTGTTATCGGTCGCCAAAACGTTGTCGTTTCGTAATAGTGACAGCATTTCTTCGTTATTTTCCAAATAGAAGTGATTTTCACTCATTTATCTTACTAACTGTGACGAAGCTAAAATTTACAACGACGATCATAAAATAGCTCTAAGAAATTGATAGTAATTTTATTTATAATTGTCCATGATATGTTCTAATATTTTAGAAACGCCTATCAAAACATCTTTTTCAATGCATATAACTAAACTATCTTTCAATTATGTCTTTTATTTTATTACGAAGTGGATTCTTCACAATATTAATCACTAAAAAAACTATTTCAACTGAAGCAGTCGCAACATGTAAAATCAGTACTAATTTGAGGAGCAAGTACACCAAGGAATAGTGTCCATCCCATTTTGTCTCCACCAACTTTTGTGCAATACTAATTTATTTCAATTAAAAAAAAATCATTTTTCAGACGCAAGTTAGAAATATCATTCATTGTGCTTTTGCAAATGATGTATATGAAATTTGATGGCTTTGAGGTTGAAACAATTATATATGTAAATAAACTCTTCGAACTTGATCTCTAATATTTGGATCATATTCTGATATTCAAAGTCGAAGTCTAGGATCTCGAGGAAGATTTGCTAGTATACTTTCTATTTTACCTTCAGTTAAACTTTGAATATTTGTCATAGAAGGTGAAAAAGTATCTTACGTTGATTTTCTCTTAAAATACCTTTCCATAATTGTTTCAAATAATACAAAGAAAAAAGAGTAAGATAACACAAGTTCGATCAAATTAGACCATTGATTCAACCAAAACTAAAAGCAATTAAAAAAGAACCTAAATCGACACTTCAATCTTCAGCTCGTTATCATATTTATATAAAGCCAAATATTCAAGCCATCTAGATCGAACGATCAGAAACCATATAAAGCTAACTTCCGGTTACTACATATAAATTCAATTGAAAAAAAGTTCCAGTAAAAAGGCAAACTAAATTAACTAGTAGAATTGAGTGAAACCCTAAAAACCGTATATTGTTTTTGTTATTTTCAGGGTTTTGGGAAATGTTTTAATTATAGGGGAGGTTATACTAAATTTTTTGTAGGATTTGTTATTAGTTTTGGGTTAATGATTTTTTTTTCATCTCTTTGCAGCGAAGAAAAACACCAGGAGACCTTGTCGGCAATTGAAGACGGCCAAGGTCATCTGGGTGACCAACAGTCGTATCCCAATCGGATACAATGAGCGACATCGGGCAACACCAACGGCAAAGTAGCATAGTGCATTGGCCCATGACATTGGGCATTTCGTGCGGACGTTTTGCCATATGCGGTGGAAGTCTTGGAAGGCGATGCCGAAGGAGACGAAAAACACGGTGTGCAACCAATTGTCCGTAAGTAGCGTCGCCTTTTTAATTTTTTTCATGTAAAATTTATATATTTATATTTATTACTGTCTTTTATTACTAATACTTTCAAAATATTTGTTACATTGCAGACAAACTACAATTTTGATGATCCGCATGTCTTTCTTGAGGAGGGTTGTCCGAATGAGTTGGAGGACCGACAAGATAGTTGGGTTTGGCTTTGCGGTTATTTTCAGGAGCCGAGCTATGTGATGTGTTTTTAATTACGAATTCTTTCATTTCACTTTTTTTAATTTTTACTAATGTTTATTATTATTTTTTTAATTTTCTTTAAGTATTACAACTAATATGTTTATTTTTTTGTATAATAGAAGAAGAAGAAGGCAAAGGCGAACAAGATCGATCAGGAGAAGAAGACTCTGCTACACCATTTGCGCGAGACCTTTCTCCTATAGGATGGAGGCGCGACGGAAGATATATATTACATCTTTCATTTCCACTTTTAAATTTTTTTTTCTTACTAACATTTTCCTTATCTTTTTCAATTTCAGGAGGGTTCAAAATTTTCGGAGATCAACGTCTTTGCTGATGTTTATGTTCGGCCTGAGGATGAGTTGACCGAGTCCTTTCATGTAAGTAATTTCTTATGCATTCAACATTTATACTAATTATTTCAAATTGTTTTCTATTAATAATCCATGTTTTTTTTCATAGGCGACTATGGTGGAGAAGAGTCAGTCGGTGCTTCAAGAGTCTGCCTCCCAGCTTCCCTCGGACACGCCAATTGAGTATGTGGATCCCCTGAGGATGCAAGGTTTCACATCGTGACAGAGACGTTGGACCAGACTTTCGGTCGGAGGCCAGAGACTTATTGTCAGGGGATGGGAAATGCCAGGCGATGGGAGAGTAGAGCATCGTTATCCTCGCAGTCAAAGGGCCATGTTACGACTTTGACGCAAGAAGTCGCTAGCCTAAGGAGTGAGCTGGCATTGTACAAGTCTCAAATGTTGATGCTTGTACAAGCCCTTAGTTCCTCCGGAATACATCTCCCCAGTTTTTCTGCACCATCGCTCTCACAGCCTTTCCACACTGAGCAAGCACAGTAATCAGGCCCGTCAACCTCCGAACCCGTCCCCAACCAACAGCAAGATCCTTTGAACGACATTCCTATAGATTTTTCAGCTTTTTTTTCATAGTTGTGTTCTTACTTTCTTTTAAAACTTTATATTTGTACGTACATTTTTATTTATATTATAAATAAAAATTGTTTTTTTATTCATTAATTTGCTTTTTTTTTTTGTCATTAGTATGAAATCTTTTTTTTTTAATTTTCCTTTTATTCTATTTGTTTTTTTTAATAAAAATTACACTAGCACGACGCCGACCAGTCGTTGCGCAAAATTAAGCGCGTCTTATAACTTCGTTGCGCATTACCACGCGCCTCTTACATTTTTCGTCACACAAACTTTTCGAGCCGAACTAGTCACAAAGCGCACTTGTACCCTTTTATATCGTACGACGAAAACCTTCATCCGTTTAACTTTAGCGCAACGAGTAGTAAAGGGTTGCACAATTTTTTTTTGCGTGACGAGTTTGAAATTGTTCGTCGCGCAATGTATTTTTCACAACCTTTGCGCAACAAAATATGCGCGACGATCTTCTTGTCGCCATAGTTTTTGTGCGAACTAATAATGATTTGCACGACAAAATCTTCCTCGTTGCACAAACTGTTTAATTTAGTAGTGTACCAATGCCTCCACTGCTCACTAAACAATTTTTTTTTTAAATGATGGAGAAGCCCTAGAACGGCTAAAACTAACAAAATTCCAAATTTACATCACTCTTGCCTCACTAGCCAAGGCAAGAGCGATCTCAAACGGGCAAAAATATCATAAAAGTGACCCACATAAGCCAAAACATCAACTACAAAGTTTGCTAGTGAACTGAGATAAACTGAAGGTTATATGCCAACTTTTGCACATTATGGATAACAGTAAGAAGGTGTCAAGGGGACGAAGATCCACTGTTAATAGCATCCACCAGAATGTTAGAGTCCCCTTCCATCTCCACATGCCAAAATCCCTGGGATAATGCCGATTGAGGTCCATCCACAAGAGCTTGACCCTCCGCAGCCAATATATAAGACACTAGCAACCAATGGATCACTCCATTAGAGTCCCCAACTACAAACGTACAAGCAGCACCACCTGAGCTAATGACCTCTGTGCACTTCTATTTATTATAAATTAAAGGGATTTGTAGAAGAAAAACACAGAAGAAAGAAACTAGCAATGGGCTTGTAGTTCTGTTGGTTAAGAGTATTGTCCATAATTTGAACTTGAGATCCTGAGTTTAATTCCGACTCTATGTTATTACTTGTATCGAAAAAACATATATAATGCAGAAGAAAACAAAATAGAAGTGTGAAAATCATTATGTTGGTAAGGAATGTTAATTAGAAACTTTCTTGTCAACTATCCGTGGGCTGGTTAATTGGAAAGTTTTATTGTGATTTTCATATGGTCGATTACTTTACCTGTGTGTAATTATTGTTTAGAGCTCATAGTTTAAAGTTTAGCTTTCTACGTACATCTCGGTCCAGTTGAGATGTATGTAGAAAACTAAACTCTAAACATAAATTCTTGAACGAGCATATCAATATTTGGTTGGAAACAAAAATAGTCATTCTGTTGATGAATCTGTTTACAAAAAATTAACTAGGAATAAAATTTAATTACAAACGCTATAACCTACTGTACAATATCTTTTTTTTTTTTTAACGATGTACAATATCTTAATTATTGACCATTTTTCTTGTTCACATAAGACCTCTCATTCTTCCTTAACTGACAAATCACAAAATAAGTATCATAATTAGAACTACTAGCATTATAGTAATTCTCGGAGGCATTTTGTTCATGACCATCACCACCACCAACAAGACTATATTAATCTAAATGCCACCCTCCACGTTCCTCCGACTGTTGATTCTCGTACCGAAATTTTCTCTTTCGGCCAATAGGGTAATCGTTACCATTTCCATCCTTATAGTAAACAAGTTTTGAGGCTCGCCTTGGCTCCAAGAACCTCCAACGCCAATCTTCCGATGGATATACGAGCCCTTCGAGTTTAACCTCTTGAGCTCGCAAAAGGAATATAAGCCTTCGTGGTCTTCCCATATTTCCCGTGGTTCTTTGTTGCTAGAGGTTTTCCACATGCACAAAGTTGTTGTATAGCAGTATTAGAGGCTCTCTCTTGACCACCATTGTGTAGAGAAAGAAATGGTTGAGTTCTTGGTCGAGGGCGGAAGCCGAAACCCACCAGCGCATGTGGATTAGCCATGAATAACTCAAGATTAGTAAAGCAGTCGATCTTGTTAATCTCTATAGGTTTTCTTAAGCTTTTGAGGAATAAGAGGGTGTGACATGAATGATATTTATAAGGAGTGAGTTCTTATAGGAATCTGATGGAGATTTCAAAACTACTTGAGACTAGAAAATAGCTTTTGAAGACTAAAATTAGAAGGCTTTTTAGCCAAAGTAATCCTTGAGATTAGCATAACACATCACTTTGTTCCTTGAGATTGAAAATCAACAGCAATGGTCCCTGAGATTATCCACCATCCATTATTTTGGTCATTCCGTTAAAAA